GTTTCGATATCCGTGATGGGGGGGGGGGCAGAGCAGAGATAGCTCATTGTGTAACTTTGTGCTTAATTACAAACAAACAAACAAGCAACTTTTACTTCCGGAATGGGAGGGCAGTGGTTGTTATTAGGTAGTCCCTAACTTTGTTAGAAAGTAAGGACAGGCCCGTAAGCAGAATATTTGAAAGAGGGGTTCTTATTTGTGAGATCAAAAGCCAACACATATCGTGTGAATCACAATCAGAATACAAAGCATACTAATGCTACGGGAGTCAGGGAGCTTACGACTATTTGAAGCCAAAAATGCTAAATCTTCATCAGAAGAATGTAGATTTGTGGAAAACGTTAAATACCACAGACAACGGTGCTATAACTATATCAAAATGTTTTATTTCAAAGAAATAGGGGATTCGGCCGAACCACCCCTGCGTACCTGCATGGGATAAGTAGCTACTCTAGATTAAAAATAAACAAAAAAATATTAATGTAACTGTAATATATATATAGAAGAGTGCTTAAAACAGAGTGAGCCTAGTCTTATTACAGTATATATGTTCATACCTTTCTGTTTTGTTACATTTAAAAAGTATTAGGAAAAGAGAATATTTTGTTATTCTTTCCATTTAATGGGGCTAATTCTATCATGCCATTAAGGAATGTAAATTTCAACTCTATGGTAATGCTTCACTGATTCCTGTTGACAATTGAATGAGCCAGGGTGATAATACTTATCGTTCTTTAGAATACCCATATACTTGTACCAAGGGCATGTCATAAGCATTCTGCTTAAATGAATATACTGGTCAAATTCAGGGTCTAAAATAACTGGGATGGTATCCCATGCAGTGTATTAACTATATAGAAAGAAGCTAGCATACGGTACCGGTATATGCCAAAAGAAATAAATTTAATAGCATTCCACAAATAAACCTTGATAAAAACAATGTTTAACACTATATATATTAAGTTTTGTTGTCATGCCACAGCCCAAAAATCATAGAGAATTGTTAGTGGAGCAAAGAGTTCACATAAAAGCTTTACGTGATGCTGGTTTGACTCACCGATAAATTGCTGCAGACTTGAAATGCTCCCTAAACACTGTCAAGTAAACCCTAGATCGTGAGGCCGAGACAGGTAAATTTGAAAATAGGAAAGGAAGAGGCAGAACACCGAAACACAATGACACTGATGTTATGTTTTTTTTTTTCATTTATGCAGCCTTTAGGACAGAAGAAAGACTACCACTGATCTCAATCTTGAGATAAACGACCATGTACCAAATGACAGAAAAGTGTCCAGATCTACAGTATCAAGAATACTCAACGAGATGGAATATTTGGTCGTTTAGTAATTAAAAAACCTTTACTTCGATCTTCAAATATTGTCAATAGACGGAACTTAGCTAAAAAGTACAAAAACTGAACTGTTGATATCTGGAAAAGGGTGATATGGACGGATGAGTTCAAGTTTGAAATATTTGGTTCAAAGTGTAGTTTGTACGTCCGGTGGAAGAAAGGTGAAAGATATTTACCTCAATGCGTAACACCTACCACAAAACATGGGGAAAACAGTGTGATTGTTTGGGAATGGTTTGTTTGTTTGTTTTTTTTTTGCTGAGGCAACAGGAGATACTTGCAAAATAGATAGAATAACGGACCAGCGCAAGTACCATCAGATACTGATCCGTCATGGTATACCAAGTGGTTTGTGTATTATTGGTAAAGGATTCTCCTACCAAGAATATAATGACCCCAAACACACATCCAACCTGTGCAGATATTACTTAGCTAATACAAAAGCTCCTGGAGTCATTCAAATGATGCAATGGCCCCCCACAGTGCCCCGATCTCAACCCAATTGAGCAGATCTGGGATTTGATAGATCAAAAACTTGACAAATCAAAGTTATTTCCAAAGAAACTTTATGGGAGTATATTAGAGAAATTTGGAGTAAAATCCCAAAGGGCACTTTGATTACATATGTTGCAATAATGCTTGAAATACTGTCTGCAGTTATTAAAGCAAAGGGGAGACACACAAAATATTAACTGTTTACTGAACTCAAGCACTTCAACTGAGTTTCTGTTGTACTAAATATGAAGATTAATAAAATTTTGATATTTCAACTGTGATTTACCTTCCATTGTTCTTTGAAAATAGCCTGAAATTTAATTTTTTTACTTTGTCCTAACATTTATTGTAAGTAATATCAGTTAAGTGTATTAGATGTACAAATGTTTTGCACAATGTCGATTACGTATTTGTATTTTGATATGAAAACAAAGTACTGCAGAAATGATTCTAACATGAAATAGCAGAATTTGGCTAGCATATAATTATGAATTGTACATTTAATAGTGAAATTTGTTGATTATGCTGTAGATAGATATGTTCCTGCAGTGTTCTTGAAACTAATTCACTGTAGTGCATTGTACTCAGTTAGAAAAGTCAGGCCTACGTCCTTGGTATTTCTCTACTTAATCATGTTTGTAAGATTTGTAAAATTATCCACATGGCCGTTTTGTGAACAAATGTAATATTTTAGGTATTGAGAGAAAATTGGATTTATATATTAATATTTTGATTTGCTATTGTAAATGCTGATAGACTAAAATTATTACGCAATTGTAAATTTATATAAGTTGAAAAAGGACCATTATGCGTTGTATTGAAGTGTCCATGATGGGAAAATGTACTAGTCATGAAAATTTAGGTCTGTACATGGTAGAGTAAGACGCACAGTACTTACAGTACATATTGGACATATATTATAGTATGCGGATTAGACAAAGCCAGACTAATTAAATAGTAATGAAAAGTGACACGTCTCATTTGTTTTTAATTATTTATGTATTTACCCATACATTTGACCTGTTTAAAACCTACAACTTTATTTGCACATGAAAGTTTATATAATTTGTAATTTCATAACTTGTCATATTTTTTCTGAAGTTAACATTAGTTAAGTACATCATATCAAATATAAACATTATTTTCATGCTTTAATCTGCACATGTCTTGTACTACACCGATAATATATGATTTTCATGTAAAACATAATGTATTGCATAATTAAGTAACCTGACTTTATCATGTCGACATTCAAAGGTGAATCCCAGTATGTGGATTGATATTTGGTATTAATAGCAAGGTGATCTTGAGAACCAGTGTTCTAATGAGGAGAATATTAGCATTTCATTCAAAAGATTTTGTTCTGATTACAGAATAATAATATTAGTGAAATATTTTAAAACTGGGTTTCATCAAGATGATAAATTTACAGTATCATGAGAAATTATTTTTGTATATTTCTAAAAAGAGTCTGGTTATGTACATGAGTTAAGCTGCAATACAAATTGGAAGGTTGTAGCAAAGTTTTTCCTACACTTCAAGCCTTTAATTATAAAACCTTGTAGAGACTCTTTGGAGGGAAGACCTCAGATGCAAAAAGATCTAGTAGTAGTAGGGGAGGAGAACATGACCATTCAATCTTAACTAGGTAAAAGGATAAAAAGGTAGTCTTTAAAAGACTAAAATTGCTAAATTTATTCTCTTTAGATCTAGGACAGTTATGTAATGCATCTTTGATGAAGTAAGTGTAATGATTTGTGTTACTTCTTTTGGACTTCATGTTGTATTCTTTTTCAAGCATTTGTATAAATTTTTGCCACAAATTATCAAATAAAATTTCTTAATTATATTCATCGACTTCAATTAAAGAATTGTTACGTATCTGTTTGTTTGTTAATTTCCGGTAGAAATTCTTTCCGAGGAACTTCAGCGATACAAGTCCTTTCTTAATTAAACCAGTCTATTCTTCCTCGATACAACTTTTAGTACACAGTAGTTTCCACAGTAGGTACGTTTCTCGTAACTTTAAGCTTAACGACTTTTATAATACACGCTATAAATCACAGCGATTCACAATCTCGATATCAAAACACACTAGCTCGAAACAGAATCGTAAATTACCTGGAACTCTTTTCATTCAATAATACCGCAGGCTTACACTGCCAGGCTTATATACTAACAAAGAGGCGTCTCGAAAACACGCGGAGTTCTCCGATCATTCGAGAAATTTATCACGTGTTACCAGCGTCATGTGACTTCCGCTGTCGTAACAGAATGTTTGAAGGTGCAGATTCATAAATAACACTCTTCTCCACTCCATATAAAATGGCATGACGCGCCACCTTTTGTCCATTGGCAACAATATTTGAGATGTATGTTTTTCTGTGACACATAATAAACACCGAGGAAAAAGAACATATTTTAATCTTAAGATTTCTCTCTGCTCTAAAATCCAGTGCATTATTTATATGACAGGTCAGATATGTGTGTTTTTCGCGATTTTTGCACTAATTTCTAAGTTAAAATCAGTTTTAGATCATCTTGGCTTGGTAAATTTATCAACATAAAATAAAATCATTCAAATGTCTAGTTTATATAGAAAACGACCATAAGTTGTGAGGTGAGATGGCCTTGCTATTGTCAGTTACACTGGCGGGATTCAAGTTGAACATGTAACAATGGCGGCCGCTTGCGCATGCTGAAAATCACGCGACTTCTAATCTAGTGTTGTTTATATCTGTGTTACAGATAGGCTAAATCGTAGCTAAAATTGCGTTATTCTCGCTAAACCTAATCTAACGTTTAAAATGTTTATACCAGAAAGTCTTAATTTAATACTGCAATCTTAGTATTAATATTTACTAATCTTCTTAAATCAAACTAATTATTTTGTTTATCCTTCTAAGAGTGATAGCTCGCCTTCTATTTGTTATTTATTCTTGCTTAAACACACTAGAAAATAATGTGACAAGCCACCCTATTTAACACAGCGATCGCGGATGGCTAATAGTAAAAGTACTTCGAAACTGAGAGTATTTGAGCATATTTATAAATTTAATTAAAATGAATTAAATAATATTGCTTATTTCACATTATTTTATTTTTAAATGAATCAACAGAGCGCCCTCTTCCTACATTTCTTCCTTTAATCATATATATTAATCAATTAGGCTTACAATTATAGAAAAGGAAAATGGCAATGCAAAGGAAAACAAACGTAAGACTTCCGCCCGAGGTAAATAGAATACTCTATGTTCGAAATTTGCCATATAAGATTACAGCCGAAGAAATGTACGATATATTCGGTAAGTATGGAGCTATCAGACAGATTCGTGTAGGGAATACCCCCGAGACTAGAGGAACGGCTTTCGTTGTGTATGAAGACATTTTTGACGCAAAGAATGCATGTGATCATTTGTCAGGCTTCAACGTTTGTAATCGATATCTTGTGGTATTGTACTATCAGTCGAATAAGGCTTTCAAGAAAGTTGATCAGGATAAGAAAGAACAAGATATTGAAAGACTTAAAAAGAAATATGGAGTAAACACAGAGGAAAATTAATTGTACTTATTGAAACATGAAGCTTGAAGTTGAAAATGAAAAGTAAATAAATACACTTTTACCCAAATGACAGTGAACTGATGTGTGCGTTTTTAATTTCATGTACAACTACAAGTCTACGTGTCATGTAAGTTGTAACAAGGAGATTCATTTATCATAGACACTGTACTGATCAGCTGGAAAGGAAGGAAACTATAAAATATAATTCAAAAAACTGAAGTGATTATATGATTATGAATATCCATTTGGTTAGCTGTTTTTACCTTTAAAATGTCCCAAATTAGTTAAAAGCTGTGGAACTTGGAAGTTCAGAAACTAGTAATACAAGTTTTATAATTATTATTATATGTCAATGTATTATCTGTTTTATTATTTGTGAACGTGTAATCAAGCCTAATCCATAAATTTATTCAGTCTACAGAGAGTTTAAGATCTCACCAAAAACATTTGGACAAGTGCTTACAGCATAGTTTAACTGTACTTCATGGTGGAATTGGTTATGTTCTTGAGCTGTGTAACAAAGAGAATTCCAAAGTCAAACAAACTGCTCAACATTTCATTTCAAGAAATTAGTTAGAAGAGGTAGCTTGCATGCAAAATACTAAAGGTCGTACATCACAATCTAATTGTTAGACTTAACCAAAATTTTATCTCCTTCAATTTATAAAAAAAAATAAACAGTTACATAGTGAAATATAAACATATATGGACAACAAAGAATAGTAGTTCTTAATGCTGTTTCTATAAGCCTACACCCAAGAACAAATATTTTATTCACCATCTATTTTTCAAGAAATCTATTCCACTGATGACAGTGGCACTCGTTGAAAAATTACCCTATTAGTATTAGAAATATAAATTTCTTAACTGTAGCCTAGCCTATTATATTCAAAATCTTAAACTTTATGATTAACAATAATATATAATGGCATTCCATCTGGTTGGCACCCTGATCATTTAAGAGAGAAAACGATCCCTAATCACTAAAACTAGATTATGGGTCAGTTTGTTGGTATGTCGTTTTTCTATTCAAAGAAGTAGGAGAAAATAATTTTCAAGACCTAAAATAAGAAATTTTTTGGAATTTCACCAGAAAATTTGATTACATTTAAATAAACATTAACAGCTATGAAAAAAGTGTTGAACAACACAAATAAAAACTTGCAAAGCTTAATAATATTTTAAGCAGATCTTGACTTCAATTTAACAAATATAATTTAAGAGTAGAAAACTCCAAAATATTCTTTATAAGCATATATTATTGAATCATTTTCTTTATTTCTTTTGTGTGTGTGTTATTGGTATATCTTGCTTCCAAACCAAATTAAACATTTTAAATTCTAATACCAATTCCTTTTCACCCTCAAGAAGTGAAAAAATGTTGACATAAAGTTCATTGATGTTGAAAATCAGAGTTAACTGTAATAAGAGCTATAATTGTTCATTACTCAAGGTGTTCCCTAATGGGAGAGCAGTAAGTCTATAGACTTACAGGGTTCAATCCCTTGTGATAGACCAAAGTGGTTTTTGTTCTTAAACAGTCACTCAAGGTTGAAAGAAACAAGTATGCAGGGTAGGAGTTATCTTCAGCTAAGACAGCTTTGTTTTTCTAACAGTAGGATTGGCCTTTGGAATGGGTTGCCTTCAGATGTGGTAGATGCAGTTAATTTAAGGGAAGGCTTCATAAATATTTGAATGATTATGAGCTGGTTTTGAGTATTTTATTATAGAGTCAAGTAGATGGGACAGCCTAGATGGCCCAAATTTTGTTAGCTTTATTATTAGCAACAGAGCACTACTTCAATGGCTTTGAGTGACTTATCTACTTATATGCTAAGATTATTTTCTTAAGTCACGCTGTTGAGTTATTTCTCATCTATATAAAAAATTTAATCCAAATTAAGATAATCAAAAGCATGACCTTGTACTTATTGTAATTAAAGGTCATTTAACAAATGTTTGTCCAACTTGAGCCAAGTCATTCTGTAATAATACCTCAACACCCTCAATACAACTAGAAATACCCATGAGTTTTTAATATCATCTGCAAACTTTACTAATTATACCACTATCGGTATCATTAATGTAAGTAAGAAAGAGCATTGAACTCTGAGGGATTCCACTAGTAACAAGTGTCCAGTTTGATTGGACTCCATTAATAACACTTTGCTTTTGACCATCCAACTACCTTACATTCCAAGTAAATGGTCTTGACTTAACACCCATCAGGGCTCCAAAAAATTCTAAAAAATGTTAGTTACTAGCTACGTTTTTTACTATCCAGCTAAACTTTAAATAAAATTGTGTTTCCCAAAATGCTCTGAAGCAGCAAGCATGCAATGACATTTGACCTCCAAGTTAAAAGTTATGAACTGTAAGCTGTGTTATGGCAGGGAGAGAGAGAATAATGTCTTTTTTTTTTCAGTTGTAATGTTTTGTTTTTATTTTTTAATATAATGGTAAATCGTGTCTATACAACAATACTTCACATCACAGGTAATAAATGACATGACCATAAAAGTTGTTTGTTTCATACTGTGTTTTAGCAAGTAATACCTGAAAATCATCTGATAAGTTGGTTTTGTTTAGTTTTTACATCAAGTAGGGTTACTGAAAAATGAGTGAGAAGAAGCAGTCATTTACTGTTTAAAAGTAAATTGTTTTGTTAATAAATACTGCTGTTATACAGCATGTTAAATATTTGTTTCATAATAGAATGAAACTGCAGGCAACAAGCTATATGATGCAGAATAGCTTTAGTAATAAACTTGGCCGGTTGCAATGTCATCAGCTTGTGTAGGGCATCTCAGTTATACTAGAATTGTCTTAGGTTTGTGCAGAGCAGTCGACTGCTGTTACTAGCTGACAGCTAGCTATACTTAGAACCCAGCTAGTCATTTCTATGTACAACTGGTGATGAGTCAGTAAGTCAGATTAAGTAAGTCCTTGTGTCAATGGCACCTGGCTTACAGATTGTCAGACATTTAAACATTCAAGTTTTTTTTAGGGGGGTAAAGAATGTGATACAGCCTACTTGCACAAAGTGTGATATTTCAATTTGTCATACTTTTTTTTTTTCTGTCACCAGTAGCAACCATACTTTTGGAGCACTAGTCCCCTACTAAGAGAATAACATTGGTTGATGAGACTAAGAAAATCACACTGGTAGGGGAGCTAAGAGAATAACATTGGTTGATGAGACTAAGAAAATCACACTGGTAGGGGAGCCAGTGTCATTTTCATAGTCTCATCAACCAATGTTATTCTCCTAGCTCTCCTATAAGTGTGATTCCCAAAGATAATTTTTTGTGCATGTGGCATCTTATCAGAAGCTTTTTGAAAATCTAAGTGCATCAGTCCACACCTTTTTTTTTACATCTGGATAGCAAGTAAGGTCCTCAGAAAGATATAACAGATTAGCTGGCAACATTTCCCTTTGGAGAATCCATGTTAGCTTAATGTGTATTTCACCAAATGTTTTTGTAAAACTTCTTTGATCAAACTATAGAATTTTCCCACCACAGAAGTAAGACTAACTGATCTGTAATTTCCAAAGTAACTTATTGTTGCCCCTTTAAAAAATATGAGTACGACATTAGCAACCTTTAACATCCTCTTGTCACATGCCCACTCTCTACTAACCTAACAAACATAAAAGAAAGAGGCTCACATATCTGATCTTCGAAATCTGTGGAACTAATTGGAATTAACCTGAACCACGTAGATATTAATCCCAAAAAAAGACGGATATTAACAACATATAAAGAAAGTACCAGAGCCAGGCATAATGGTTATAACTTCTTTGATAAAAACATAGAAGAATAAATCATTTAAAGGCTCAACCATTTCAGTCTACAACAAAAACTTTGACATCAGCATCCTTTAAAGGCTTAATCCTCATTCTAACATTTTACTTACTTTTTAAATACTGAAAATAATCTTTGCTGTTAGTATTAACATTTTCAGACAACTGTTTTTCAAAAGTCCTTTTGGATTTCCTAATTATTTTTTTAACCAGATCTCTAGCCTTTCTATAGTTCTAAAAATCTTTCCACTTTTATGTCAGTTTAAACCTCTTTGATTTATGGTAACTATTACTGACTTTCTCCTTAAATTATTTTTTAAGCCAGTTAAGGATGATCTTCCCTGTTATCCTTTTTTTTTTTTTAGGAACATGCTTATCTTGAATTGAAAGCATTGACCTTATATTTCTGAACAGGTGGTTTATATTAATTGCCAATTAAAAATTTTCTCTCCTCATTGGAACCCACATATATTCATATTCTTGACTATAATTATTTGTCTTCAGTTCCAACAAGTTACAATACAACCCTTACATAAATAGCCATCCCACTCCATTTTTTAAAAAGTCTATTATGGTTATACAACTTATAATCTGTAATTTCAATGTAATTATTCTTAATATCGCTATCCTCCGAATCTAACTATTACAGTAACTGTTTCACTTAATTCCTTTTATCTGTTCTACCATACTTTTGTTGTTTTAGAATTAGTATTGTTTATCTTCACTACTCTGTATAGATATTAATCATTCATCACTCATTATATATTTTATTAATATAACTTTTATAGTCTTTGGTCCTGAAATGGTAAAAAGCGATAATATGTTACGGTTGCTTTATTGATACTTGGAAATAACAGCTATTTCATCAAAATCAAAACTGAATGAAGCCCTTCACATCCATGAAACTAACCAATGAGCATATAAATATTTTTAGCTGACAGTATATTATCAGACAAAGTATTTCACAAATAAGCGTATGACTAAGGGAGAGATTCATTTGACAAAGAATAACTTTTGATCGAGGCTTTCAAACCTAAATATGTTGGTCCCAATATTAAAATACCCACAGGTAGGCTGTTCAAATTCCTGTAAATTTTAATCACCTAATTTCAGCCATATTGCCGTAGATGAATAATCGAGACAGTAAAATAGTGAATTTAATAGAATTGTTATGAAGTATTTATAGACACTGAATACAAGTCAGAAGGGGTGATATCTATTTCTAGAAATCGTCAGGTTAGGCCCTACTTAACCAAATGTGCACAGGGTCAGTCCAACCATCTACTGGAGAAGGAATATTGACTGTAATTCTGACATTTCTA